CACCCCTTCGCCTCGCCTGGGGACGGGAGGCCCGCCTGTGGGCCGCTGCCCGCCGGCCCTTCCGCGCCGGGTCTGCAGCGCCTCCGCGGGGTTGCGGCAGGCCTGGGCCTTCGCTGCCCCTCTGGGTCCTTTTCCTGACGTGGGGGGCCTGCCCTCCCCACCGCACCCCTTGTTCTCCGGCCTTTCCCCAGCTCTCTTCGCCCCGCGTTGGCTTCCTGGCCTTTCCCCGTAGGGTGGGCCTGCCTTCCCTCACTCTCGCCTTCCCCCACGGAACCTGCTTCCCTCTGCCCTCTCCGCACGCTCACCCCGGCCTTGGCCAGCCCTGCCCGACCCCGTGGACAGGACCTGCCCGCAGTGAGATGCCTGTGGGGAAGGGAGACCCCCGCGTCCTAGCGGGACCCCCTCTGCCAGCCGTGTCCCTGGCCCCACGCTCCAGCCCGCGCTCCGCCCTCCCACTGGGCAGCTGGGCCGGTTCGTTCGTTTTAGGTCCAACTTTGATGCAGGCTCCCCGCGTGTATGGCCTCCAGCTGCGCTGCGGTTAGTAATTCGTTTGAAGCGGGCAAAAAAGTCACTTACGGCTAATGAAAATGGCAACATCTTCACGGGGTAGAGCCTGAACAGGGAGAACAGGAGGAGCGATTTCGGGATTCGTGAGGTTTTAACTTTTCGGAAAGGGCTCAAGCCTACCCCTGCTGGGCGCCCACTGCCCGCCGCGCTCGGTGCCCGCAGAGAGCACTTGCCACTCCACCCAGCCTTGCCCCGACGCAGCGCTGCCGACCGGGTCGGGCCGGCGCCCCCCTTCGCCTGGCGGCTGCCTTTTCTTCTTGGTCCCCCTTCCCGGGAAACACTCTGGGCCCCTCTGGGCTTCGAACTTGTTCACTGAGAATCTCGACATCTCAAAGGCAGCCCAGATCTGAGGGGCGCCAGGGCAGAGCCCCGGTGGGGAGGCCCCTTTCCCAGGCTGGGGGACGCTGGCGATGGAGCGGGGCACCCCAGGGTGGCTCAGAGCTCTCACTGGCGGCCAGGCCGGAGCATTTTGTGCTGGGCGGCACTGGCGGGGCGCTAGCCCTCCGCGGGTGGCGGGGATGCCGGGGGCGGCTCCCCGAGGAGGGCAGGGCCTGAGCTCGTCGGGCTCCCCCTTGTCTTCCCGCAGCCGTGTTGAAGGCCGAGCAGGCGGCGGTGTTTAAGTTCCCGCTGGCGCCGCTCAGCTGCTCGGGGCTGGGCTCCGCGCTGCTGGCCGCAGGGCCCGGGCTGCCCAGCGTTGCGGGCACGCCGCACCTGCCCCTGGAGCTGCAGCTCCGCGGGAAGCTGGAGGCCCCGGGCGGCGGGGAGCCGGGCACCAAGGCCAAGAAGGGGCGTCGGAGCCGCACCGTGTTCACAGAGCTGCAGCTGATGGGCCTAGAGAAACGCTTCGAGAAGCAGAAGTACCTCTCCACCCCCGACAGGTAGCGCGGGGCCAGGCCTACCCAGTGGGCAGTTGGGAGGGGGAGCTGCGCGCCCTGCTGAGGATGCACCCCGCTCTTTCCAGAATAGATCTCGCCGAGTCCCTGGGCCTGAGCCAGTTGCAGGTGAAGACTTGGTACCAGAATCGGAGAATGAAGTGGAAGAAAATAGTGAGTGTGCGGCTGCTCCCGAGCCCTCGGTCGCTGCCAGGCCCTGGGCTCTCCAAGAGCTGCTCTCCCCCG